TTCCCGTTTCGTCGAAAATGAAAAAACGACCGTTCCCGTTTCGTCGAAAAATTAAATTGTAATGAAAAAAGTATAATCAAAGTGATAAGCTCAATTTCTTTGATTGACTTAAACTATTTCCTTAAAAAGAAATTAATTGATATCGCTATACTAGTAATCTGTAATTTTGCAAAAGTATATATATGTGGAGTGAAAAGGGAAAATTCATTTTTTTTTTGTTATATTCATTCATTATTATACAAAACGATGCTATCTATTGTTGAAAGTAAATGTAATAAACCAACTTTATTACTTCATACTTTTCGCTACACACAAGATAAAATTTTAAACACAAGTGTTTATTGGAAATGTGAAAATCGTTCATGTCCTGCCCGTGCTATACAATATGGTTCAAGTCCACCAAGCATGAAGAAATCACATAATCATGATGAAAAGTTATGCAATTAATTGGAATAAAAAAGTATTGATTTTTTTTTCTATATTCATATATTCTCTTAATAATTTCTTATTTATGTATCTAAATCTTCTCTATAATAATTTTTTTTTGACAAACTTATCTACGAGTAATTAGGCACTATTCACAATTAGTATGACGAAAAAATCTCATCAAATAATATAATCTATTCTTCATTGATTAATTAGAATTTTTTTTTCGACGAAACGGGAATAGTCGTATTTTCATTTTCGACGAAACGGGAATGGAAGGAAAATACATTTTCGACGAAACAGGAAAATCAATTAAGCTTTCGACGAAACGGGACCTAATCCTCGATACTCATTTCGGTTCATCATCCAAAATTTAATCATTATTTCCCTAGACATTTTTAGTTTAACTATAAACTCATGGGTTTCTCTTTCAATAATTTATAAAAATACATAATAAATTACACTTTTGAGACTGTCTATCATGGTCTGTGATGAGGCTCTATGAACAGAAATACTACATGTTCATTACTTGATTACATATTACCTAGTTGTAACGATGAACGATTATCGTGTTGTGTATTCAACTGCTTTTATCTCGATATATCCGTTTCTTTTATATTTCTCTTTCCTTTCATCGCGAGTCAATTAACCGTGGCGGAATGAAGAGAAATAGCGAGGGAGAGAGACAACACGGGAGAGAAAAGATGTACATACATAGATAATTATCAGTGTGCATAGAAGGAAGAAGTTATTATGTACACAATTGTTTACTAAGATAGAACAAGTTCCTATATCGGTACATGTATTTTCTGCATGGCAAATAATTATATAATGTCATAAAGCAATCAAGCAATAGAAAAAGTCAAAACTAGAAGACTGTTTACTCAAAACAGTAGGATGTCTTAATTTTTTTATGTTTCACAATTCTTCTTTTATTGTGTAGCTTCTGAAGAGTGTGGATGTGGATGTTGTTGTTAGCTTCATATGTGTAGAGTTGCAGGACAAGC